CCCAGGTGGAATATATCTGCTCGTCGCAAGCTATGTCAAAGTTCGGGGAGCTAGAACTAGGAACCAATGATCCTTCAGGGATAACTTATCTATACTCTGCCTCAGACACTATCATGATTTCTAGGGCAAAAACGGGCGAGAGAGGAATGAACACACCTGTGAAATATGATCTCTCGTCCGCCTTAGACTTGTCAATCTTGGCAAGAGACATCGGTTCGATTTCCTCCTGGTCATGTATTTCAACAATCGCCACAAAATCGTTCAGCCTCTCCGGGCTACATGTGCCAACAAGCACCTCAGTTTCAAAGCCTTCCATTACACTCAACTAACTCTCCTCCCCAACTGAAATGATCTCCTCCTCGACCAAAGAAGTTTCTTTTAAAATCCAAGTTGGGTCTTTTTTCTTGGGCCACCAGACCCATTTCACTCTCGAGCTTTTCTTCGTCTTGGATCCTTTGTTCAGGCTGCCTAAATCAAACCTTCTCGGGCCTTTTTTTCCTCACGGCCTCTTTACTTGGCTTGACATGCTCAACCAACTTCCTTTTTTCTTCTCTTGTAAACTTTGACTTACCTAATGGACAGAGCATCGGGACTGGGTCTGTAGAGTCAAGCCCAGCAAGTTCTACCTTGTGGTCATCCGGGCAAAGCCTTAAATGTGTTTCCCGGGTTCGAGTCGAGTTTGGGAGCTTCTGCCCTACCCGAATAACAGGCGCCGCACCTGCCTGTAGAGTCTCAATGAAAGTTTTCCCTCCTATTGGTACTGCCTCCTGTTGAAACCCCTGTTTGCAGTGGGGGCAATAGAGAACCACCAGCGCAGAAGGAATAATAACAGGTCCCGGGTATCCCAACAAAGAAGGTTTGGGCATACTACCTCTTTCTTCTGGATGAACCAATGGGATTTCTGCAATCTCGAACATGAATTTCATCACTCTCCACCATCCTCCAGCTTCTATGCCTTCAGGGATAAATATTCGGTTGAACATCTTGCCTTTTTGTTCGGAGAAGATTAAGAAGCACCTTTGTAATACCCTGCCTATCACTGTACTAAAATGATCTTAAAACTCTATTTATTTGGGCATTTGGCCGCCTTAAATTTAAATTAATTTATATTGTTTAACATTTTTCAATATTTGTAATTTTCATTTATTTTTATTTTTATTTATTTTATTATTTTTATTTTTATTTTATTTTATTTTAAAATATTTTAATTTATTTTATTTTATTTCAAAAGAAAAATTTAGAAAAAAATCAAAAAACGGCGAAACAAGAGAAAACCTACTCACAGGAAAATCCCGCAAGAAAGCAGTTTGCCCGCGCGGGCGCTAGGCACTATGCGCACGTGCATGCGTGCACAGTGGCCGTGGGGTGTGCGCACAGCGCGCACGTCCCATCCGCACGCACGCACGAGACGTGCACCCAGTGCGCACATCCCTTCCGCGTGCACGGGGCAGGGTCAGGACC